ATGGCATGAAGTGAAGCAAGTCTCCAGTCTCACTGACTACAGTAACAGAGGAACCTGTGCTCTCCACAAAATAAGCAAAGGAGAAGTAACACCCAAACCCCTGCAAAGATAAATGAGAAAGGGGTGAGAGCAGTGCCTAATAATGGCGTGGCAGTTGAGAAAGACAAATTCGTGAAGGGTGACCATTATCTCTCCGTGTATTTTTAAGGATAAAGGCATACAGAGGTTTTGCATGATGTAAGCTTGCAAAGTAGAGTTAGTGGGACTTACACAATGACTAAGCCTTGATCTCTGAACAGTGGGAAATGTGATCAAAGAGATTCCAAGGAGGAGTTTGGAAAATTAAATGAACAAGACGGGAGTTTTTTTGTATGCTAATTTTGGGTTTTTTTTTCCCCACCCACCCAAGCAAGCATATGTGAACAAAGAATGCAACAGAAAAGAATTAATTGCTAGATTTAAAGTTACATTGGTAATTACCGACAAATTTCACAAAGCTTTGAGTCACATCTGCCACTCATTGGGCAATCATAAATACAAGAAAATAAAGTGGTTTGAGAAGTTCACCAGTGTCCTAAACTTTCTGCTTTCACTTGGTGCTAAGTCTGAATCAAAATCACCTTGGATGCCACAGGGAAGTATATGTGCATTCCTTAGAGGAAGGTATATGCAATGTAGATAGTGAAGTTGATAAATAAAGAAGTGAGAAAAATGTACCAAAGGACCTCCTGTGAACTCAGTGAACAGAAGACAGGAGTTAGCTGAGTCATGGATTTTGCATGGACGTTTTAAGAAGTGCAGAAGGAAAGCATAATTTGGAGACCAGTAGGAAGAAAAAAGAGTTGTGAAAGAGAAGTGGTGGTTTGACAAACTGTTGATAATTCACTGAGAGAATACAACAGCCAGCAGGCTCCTGAAAGATTCATTTTGCTGGATGAATATGGAGAAGATGCTATGTTATCACAATGTGTTAAATGCCACTACAGGGAATAGTTGCATTATCACTACACCTGTGTAAATTAGTGGTGTGGATATAAGCAGACCTTCCTAATAATTTTTTAGACCCTGTACCTGTCAATGTAATATTTGATTATCTTCTGTATACAAATATATCAAGAGTAGCCAAACTTCCTAGTAGGTTTTGTAGACTGCCTGTTTCATCTTCTATGGAAAACTGTGCTTTGAATAATAGATGTTGGTTTAGGTACCAGGGGGCATATGGAAGTTTGATGGGAAGAGGAAATGGTTGATGTAATTCAGCTGTAGATGAAATCCTACACAGGCAATAACTATCAAGTTCTGGAACAACTAATCATCAGGTAATTTTTTGACTGTGACTCAGTCTGTTGAATTAAAGGACTTAGGGAGAAGAAAGATGATATGTTACTCCAGAGAGGTATCAATCACAAACTAATCACGCTATCCTGGGAAGCATCTAGCCAAGCAGAAATTAAATCTTCACTGGACTTTCCAATTACACAGTTCTAGTCCATATGTTCATGTTGTTGAAATATCTTTATTTCTGAAGGAAAATAAAGACATGAAACCACCATCATCAGATGTGTTGTGGCACTGGCAGGAGGCAGGAGAAGTGTTCTGTTCCACACTGCCTGGGACTTGGCTCCCACTGTCTTAGGAGGAAAGTGGGGCAGAAGAAAGTTAGCTTTGTCTTACTAGAAATCTTTCCAAGGGTGCTCAATGCTCGCCTAACCAGACACCTTAGAGTAAAGTTTTAAGAAGCCTTCAGGTAGCTTGATGAAAATCTGCCCTTTGCTGTCTGGTGGGATGCCTCCTCTGTTGGCCACGGAACAAAAGTGGGCTGACAAAGAGAACAGGAGGAGACAGAAACATTTACGGGAGGGCTGGAGAAGAAAAGACAGTGTGCACGGGCACACTTAGACCATTGCTAAACCTACTGGTATCTGTCTTGTTAAATAAACATGTATAGGTGTAGATGAAGTGCCCATGTGTTTTTTGTAAGCTCATTTGGCTGATTTAGCATAGGTGAGAAGAGAAAAACTAAGTGATAGTGCTCTGAATTAGAGGTTTAGAGTGTACCTTAGCTCTTGCTGCTTTTTGATGGAAGGAACTGTCCTGGTATGGTAGAATCTTTCAGGTTTTAGAGACCACTGGTAGGATAGATTTAATCCAGGTGAAGTTGATTTTGATGATTTCAAGAAATGTCCCTTTTGAATGTAGTTAAAGAGAGCAGCATTTCCTAAGAAGGCATGCTTGGGCTTGCGTTCGGATTATTCAGGTTAATATATTTTCAGTTTAGTTCCAATTTTGTTTCAATTGGGCATTTATTATTTGTTGGTTTTTGTCTTTTCTTAAACACATGTTGGTCATTCTGTATGGGCAGGTCCCTGATACCTGGGGGGGTTTATCGTCTTGCTTACGAAGCCACAGCAAAATCCAGTAGTTGGAAATGTTTATTCAGGGGAATTAAATAAATGAGATGTAATTTTCTTAGTTGCATGATGGCTGGGTGTTGTGGTGACATATGAAGGTGTGGACGTGGGGAAGTCAGGACTGCTTGAACTTTCTGGGACCCACACAAGCAAGAGTTTTTAAACATGCACTGTACTGCCACTTTCTAGCCTTTGAGAAACAATCTTTGAGTGTATGAAGGTGAAAGGGCTGTCTGGGCAGAGTGATCTCTCACAGACCCAGAATTTTTAAGTTTTTCTTTTCTTCAAGGCTTTACGGAGAAGAGTTGATTTTCTTGTGGAAAGTGTTTGTGATACTGCATCACTGCGTTATGATAATTTCATATGCCAAGACTTCAGAGGGCTGTTGGTGGAATCAAGAAATAACATCCTGATTTCACACTAAGCTGGGTGTGTTCTTTTGATGTTTTTTCTATGCGTGTTATTTTCTAAGTTTCTCTGAAGAATGAGAGGTTTGTTATTGTTGATAAAGAGAATGGATTCAGTGGACTATGATCTCCTTTTTTTTTTTTTAAATTCCTGGGTGGTCTTATTCATATGTTGTTTTGGCTTCAGGACAGTGTTCTCTTCCAAGACAGAATGATGGTGATCTTGACATCTTTTGCCTTTCCTGTGAGCAAGCATAGTTGTCTGCCTGTTGGAAACATGAGCATGTGTTAAGGTATCAGTCCATTGCCATTGTGTGATCCTCAGGCATTGCTATACTTCATCTTTTCCTGTCAGATGCAGTTCTTTGAAGCTTGAAATGTGTGGGGCAAGTGAAAGGGCTTAATATATGAGTATTTCAGTTTAGTGTCATGGCCTGTAATATATAGGAGGTGATATATATGACTGGATGATTGCCTTGTCCTGTCTGGATTCAGGATTTGCTGGTCCCTGGTAAAGATGTATATAGATTTTTTTCACATACTTTGTTCTAGAAGAGCTTGTTTTCTGTGAGAGGAAAGAGGCATGTATTGAGCTTTTTTGACTCTCTGTGACCTTTCTTTGTGGATGTTGTACAAACTTTATCTTTCTGTTAGCCTTAGGACTCTTCCCTGGACTCTCTCCTGTGGCTCTTTTTTGTACTGCTTTTATTAAATCTGACTGCAAACTGTGCCATTCATGGGATTTGGGGTGTTGCAATGTGCTGTGATATTACTTCTTGAAAGTGCTGTGCAGGCATATATCACACAAGATACTTTATATTTTGTAAGAGTTATAACTTATATTTTGGAATTTGAAAAATCCCTTTTTTTTGTCACTATGCCCATCACTTCTTTTTCAACATCATTTCCAAGAGTTGACTTTTTACATGCTGACAAACTAATATGAAGTTTGTAAAATCAAGGTGCTGCAAGTTAAAAAAAAAATAAAAAAGCAAAGGAGAATTGAAAAGAACAGCAGTAATAGTCACACATTTAAAATTCTTGTACTTTTAGATATTTTGGAATTGTCTACAAACTCTAGTCTATTTAAACAGAATTTGTCTGTGACTGAATTGTAGTATAATTGATTTACATCTCTAAATCAATGATTATGAAATTAGGCTTCTAACATGTAATCTGGAACTTGAAAGTGGTAACCTACTCGTGTTATTTCATGATTATGCTTACTTGATGAGCCTTGACTGTGTCCTAAGCAACAGAGGCAGACATCCAATTTTCTGTAACTAGCAGTAACATTGTTTAGCCTTTACACTTTGCATAATATAATTGCAGTAATGGCCCCATTTAAAAAAAAGGAAGACAGTTTGCTATGAAGATATTTTATGTAACTCTTAAATACTGAATAAGAACTTTAGTGATCAATCTAGTATGAGCTGTGTCAGCACACTGCTGTAAAACCCGGTACTGCCAAGGTGCAGGAGTGGCACCAAGCCAGGTTGTGGTATAGTAAACACTGAGCCTGCGAGGGGTCATTCTGTCATTTGATCATCAGACTTGATCCTACTTCTGTTGAGGAAAAAAAACCTCGACACAATAGTCACTGAAGGTCAGTTCCCATATAATAGAATTCATATACTCTAATATACTTCAGTAGTAATGGTAAATAGCCAGATAATCAAGATACAAGTACATAAATACCTCTGTGGGTTGATAAAACATCAAAGGGCTGTGATAACAAAAAAATATGTGGCTTCAGTGATCACCCTCTGTCTAACAACATTCCTCTTCAAGAAACTGATTATCTATTAATACCACTTGCACTGCTCTCAGCCCCCTTTTGCTTTTCGCCCCTGAGCCGTGCTGCAGGCAGTCATAGCTTCCTTGGCACGACCTAAGACATGTCTCTTCTGCCCTCTCGGTAGCCATCAGTATTTCATACTGCTTCAACATTCTTCTCCTACTTATGTGTGTTTTTCTGGTTCTTTTGTATTTTTTTTTCTCCTTGGATTTTTTTTTCTTGTGATACCCAGACTCATACAGGTGGGTATTCTAAGAATATTCTTGCAGCTGTTTCAGTCTTCCAATTTTGAAATGCAGTTATCCTTAACAAAATTTATCAGTTCTATAAGTAGAGTACAAAATAATTGTGTTTTTTTTTTTTTTTTTTGTCTCTCTACTGAAGCGGTGTGTGTATTTGAAGGCAGAAACTACTTTGAAGGACAAAGAGAAGCTGTGTATTCAAGCTCAGGGGACTGTGTTCTGTTTGAATGCAAGGTAAGAATACTGTTGGTGGAAAAAAAAATCTTGCGTGTTAGAAATATCAAAGTCCCAATGAAAGAAACTGTTGAAATACAGACAGATCTACCTTAGGAAGAGGCAACAAAAAGGCATCTAAGGGGGGCCCTGTGTTTATATTGTCTTACAGAGTTCCACATCAAATTTTGCAAATAAATTTACTTTGCATAGCTGCAAGCTTTGATTATGCAGCTTGACAATCAAGGTGCATTCTTTCCTCCTTAGGCATCATCTCCATCATCAGTGATGAAAAACCATCACACTACCTTATTTTTCTGTTGACCCGTATGCAATGTTATTGTTCAAAATTATGTGCTCAGGTATGAGAGATGCAGGAATGTGATGGGGACATAATTTAGAATTCAGGATAATTCTTAGAGGAAAAGCTAAATGAAAAAGAAGGAAAAGAGCTGGCACACCAGGTGTCTGGTATTTCTAGTGATGGAAATGGGGTAGGGTTGTTTTAGTTGTAAACAGAACACGCCTGATGCTGAGTCAGTCTCATCTTGCTGCACAAAGAGAGTTGCCCTTCAGGGCACAAATGCACTTCAAGGGCAAAATATACCCCAGGGACAGATGCAGGCTGAGAATTAAAAACTGCTGCAGTAGGTCCTGCATTGCCTTGCCAGGGGATGGGTGGGGAGGAGTTCCCTCTGGTTAGAGAGCTGCATTTTGTGGGATGGAGTTGAAAACCTGAGTGCACATTTCTAGGGCAGAGAAAGAGAGGGGAGCAGCTCCTCTGGCCATGCTGCAGTTATCTATTGGAGCAGTTTCTAGAAATCTCAGAACATTTTTGTACAGTTGTGAAAAAGTGTGTTTTACAAAGTAGAACTGGGGACCCTTATCTTACTGCAGTTGATTTTAATCTTTGTGAGCATAATTCCCTGAGTAGGTGTTTTGAAACCCTTTTGAGAAAGGAAAGGAGAAGCTGTCCAGAAATAATTTTGGATTCAGTCATATGCTTTTCAGGACTGTGAGCTCGTATTTTTAACATGACACCTGGGACATGAATTCTGTGATTAGTCAATGGATGTAATTAACAACCAACAAAAGTTATGTGATGTTGCCTCGTGTTTCTTGCAGCTGGCAAGTGCGATACTGTATGAACAAAATGCCTCTCTTGGCTGTGCTAGTCTGTATTCTGTTGATTAGACTTGTTTGCTGGTGGGCTGCCTGACTGTCTTGGTAGAAATACTAAACAGCAGCTTTGGCTGATTCAAATGCTGCTTTTTCAAGGGCCAAGGTACATACAGTTTCTGCTGAACAGCCTTGTAAATGATAATTCAGGGCAGAAAATCCACATACTATAAACTGTGTTGGTCACTCAGGAAGTCATAGGTGGGCACTATTTTATTACTGCCAAAGTTCTCATCAAACGATATAATTAATGACTCCAGCTTAAGAGAGACTTAGTAGGAATGGCATAAGTACTGATTTCATGCTTGAAGGCTTATAATGATGTTATTAAGGCAACGTAGGGAATTTCTTCTTTCTGTCTGCATGTAACTCTAAATATTTTTTGCTTTGTTTAGCTGCTGCAGTTGTGCCTGCTATAGGCACGCACTTTTCTGTTTAAATATTATAAAACAAGTGAATTAAAAACTCTCTTCCAAATTAGAATTTGTAAAAGAGTTAAATGCAATCCAGACCACTCTAATTGATATTATTTCAGTCAAAGGGTTTTTCTTCTGTATTTTGTGGGATTGTTGGGTTTTGCTTGTCCTGGTTGTGCAACACGTGTGTCTGGATTGCTTTAGTGTGCTATCAAGTTAGGGTTGGTTTCTCTGTCAAGATTGTTTAAGGTAAAGTTTGAGCAGTAATTTTGATATTGGCCATTGTGTTCATGTTTCATCTTTATATTTCATGCTTAAAGCGGATTTAAAGTTAAATTCTAGACCAATAATAATACATGCAATGGCCTATATGTGGTTTTAGGCAGTTTTCTTGCATGCAGAAGTACAGGGTCCTGAGTTCAGGGAGCTCATCTTTTAACCAGATTGCTGATTTTAAGGCAGATGCCTCTGAGGATCATGTTGTTGTTCACCTTGTTTTCTGTCTTTGCCATATCATGACTAGAGCACAGCAAGATACATTAATTAGGGTTCTAGGGAGCCTGAAGGTGTTACCTCTGCGGTAGCTGGATTGATGAGGTAGGCAATTGATGAGGTGTGGTCATGCTGCAATGATTGCATGTGACCTGCACTAAGTGCCTGAAGATATTCAGACACCATCTTGGTGTTGGGCATTTCCAGACACCTGATACAAATTTAGCTGAGAAACCTTCTCTTTCCTGAAAGGGAATCAGTGCCAGTTTCCTTCAGTGTTACTACTACAGCATTTTCATCAGATGTGATCAAGTTTGATTTTACTTGCTGTATAAATAACAAGCTGCTTTAGAGTATTCATTATGAGGACCCTTGATTCTGGAGTCTGCTGCCTCAGTTTTTGAGAAATAATTGTTACTCAGGCATAATTTTAGGAGAAATTTCTGAGGCAAGTTGCTTGACAGCTAAGACAAGAGAATGAGAGCTGTTGCCACAGTTTTGCTTGCTTGAAAAGGTTTGAATATAGGGGAGTTCCTGAGGCTTTTATTGTGCTATGTTGTCCTTTCAAATGGTTTTCAAAAGTAACCGAAGTTTGGAATAGGCAGTTTTTTGTTTGTACATTATAATGCTAAAACTCCACTGAAGTCATTTATCTTTATTTCTTCTCTCACAATATTAATCAATTAACTCAATTTAACAGGACCACAAAATGCAGCGTATTCCAAAAGACAGTTGTACAGCTTTGAACTGCCCAGAATCTCAACAGATCCCCTTATCTCACAGTTGCTGCAAAATCTGTAAAGGTAAGGTAGTAGCTGGATATATATAAGCTCAGTGTAATTTTCCATTCTTATAGGTGATATAGACTTTTTTTCTTATAGTTTTGAATAGGACACACCTGTGTAGGGTAATCACTATACATCTTGGGAAGTTGAATAGATAACATTTGCATCGTGACATCTGAAAATTGTTTGTAAAATGTCTAATAGTGTAAATTCTGTGAAATGTTTACTGGCACTTGTGTTTTTCATTCTAGCCAAAAGTGGGTGAAAAGTCAAAAAAATCATATACATAATTTGTGGTTTTCTACTCTTCACCCACTCCTGTGTCCAAACAAAACGAATTTGTAGAAATGTCTGTGTTTGCCAACATCCTTCTGAGATGCTTTGAGATGTCTCTCAGAGAACTGTTCTTGCTATGCAGTTGCTGGAAGACTGGAGTAACTTGTTGCCTGTTTGGGGCTGCATCCTGCATCTAGAAGCAGAAGCTTTGGGGAATATTTTTGTGTGCTCCGTACCTTTGTGTGTTACACCCAGAGTCATCCTTACTAAAGGGGAGAGGTGCACCAAGTGCTCTGTGTCTTGAGCCCACTCTTTTGATCTGGACTAGTACTGGTACCTTCAAAGCTATGAGCAATTGCATCTTCAAGTGGCTATATCTGTTTCTTTTATAGCTAAATAATGATAAATTGATACCTGGCATGAAAGAAGATGTTAGATTCTTGGGCTGATTTTAGGTATACTTCAGTGAAGAGTGCAGCTATACTTGTTTCTGTGCTGCTCAGCACGAACATGAAAGATATGATTAATGACACCAAGCAGAGATAAGAAAGTAGAAGAAAGGAACTTAAAAAAAGTTGATAGGTCTAGAAGTCTATCGCAGTCACAAAGGATTTTTTAATGATAATTTTCTATAAAATCTTCAGTGGCTTAGAGAAAAGAATTCTGTTTCTTGTGCTGGTATAGCTAGAAAATATTTATATATGTCATATGAGTGTTTTTTGAAAACTTTCAATCCTACCTGAACCATGGCCTCTCATGAGCTGTGGAGTTTATTCGTTAAACAAGAAGCAGCTGTATGCTATTACGCAGCAGTGTGTATTTTGTTTCTTAACACATACCAGCTATATTAATAATCTTAAGAAAAACAAACAATCAATAAAAAAGCCCTTACCTTTTCTGGATAACATGTATGTTCGTGATTATTTAGTGCCAAAGTCTGATGCAAACCAGTCCAGACCAGAAAATCAAAAGATAATGCTATTGCTTTGTCATTAACTTGGGCTTCAGTAAGATAGACAACAAAAAGGCAAGAGGAGATGTCACCATGGACAGAGGTTGCTCTTTACACACACATTTCTGCTGTAATCAGTGAGTATTGAAGGCTCTCTAATGCTGGTAAAAGTGTAGAGCTTTTTGCTTCTTGATGTCTGACGTTAGATAGCAGCACTGTGGTAGTAGCTACAGTGAATTATAATATTTAAGTAGAGTTAGCTAAGCGTATCTCTAGGTTACAGGGAGACAATCCCCAGCAGAAAAGAAAGAGAAAGAAAAGCATCTGCCTCTCATATCATAGTAGGTCTGTGATGTTTGCATCATGACTGTGTCACTGGGTCTCCGTACTAATACATTCTGCCTTTTGGAGTCTTCTGTTTCTCTTATCTTGTTTTGCTTGGTTCATGTTGCTTCACATTGTTCCTGAACTGCCCAAGTGCAAAACGCCTCTCTGACCTGACCTCCAGGCTTCCATTTTTCTGGTTGAAGTGCTCATTTAACAGAGCATCTGTGAAGTTGAGGGTAGAAGCTTTCTTGTAGCAAAATATGAAGCAGAAACCAGGTGGAGTGATAAAAAGAATAATCTTTACCGCCAACAAATACTTGTTTGTTATTTTGTAAGAGGTCTGTGTTGCAGCCTGATTTCAGCTTACTTTCTGGAGCTGTTGCTGTTACAGCAGTCCTGGTCCCCTGAGCCTGACCCAAATTCCCCAGTTCTCCTCTGGGACATTTTGAGAGAAGAAAGTAGTTACTGGAAAACAACAGTGCAAACTGCTGCTTGACCAGTTCTGATCCTTCAGTTAAAGAAGGAGATTTTAAACAAATGAAGTTGTTGAGAAAACAATGAAGGAGAAGACAAGCTTCACACCTTTATAGACAGATGTGGAAATTGTGGAAGCTTCAAGTCAGTTAATACAACCAACTTGAATTCAGCATAATAAAGGATGCTTTAATGGCGTTCAGCAACATGGCAGCAGTAGATTTCAAGAGAGCACACATAAGGAATTTTAAAAGCCTGCAGAGCTGAAAGGCTCAGTCTAAATCTTCGAGCCTGGAAAAGAACTTCAGAACCTTAAACATTTGTAATTAAAATGCGATGGGAAACAGTGACACTCAGGAAAAATGAAAAGGGAAGAACCAGGAAAGTAGGAAATAGGAATGGCTAAAAGGTGAGATTTTAAAAACAAATTTCTCTGAAATTGAAAGGATGATGCAATCAGGGAAGAGTATTCACTCAGTAGAGCTTGAAAGGAAGAGATAAGGGGAAGGGAAAAGCAAAACAAGTCAATGTTAATCAAAGACTTTCTGTTAAATGTGGAAGGATTTTATAGAAACACTTGGGAACAAAAAGTGCTAGGAAAAAGAAGTAATGCCACTAGTAAATGAGCTACTGAGTGTCTAAGCTGTTGTATTCTTTTATAAATGCCCAAGCAAGAAAAAAGAAAAGAAGAAAATGAAGAAAAAATATATAATTTAGAAGTGTTGTGTAAAAGTTTGTAACAATGGCCAGGAGACGGTAAGGGGATTTAAGCAAGCCAGCTGCCTTAGATCAATGCCATAACCTGAAATTGAATTGAAGACCTAGAGACAGTCTGTTCTTGTGGCCTTTACAACTCCTTTCATCCATTTCATGCTTGGTACAATTTATTTTTCTGTATTTCACAGACAATAGAAAGGTATTCTTTGACCTAACTGAAAAAAAGATAGCACTGTCTTTGACAGAGATGTTTTATAATTCCTAGATTCTTTTTAACCCTCAATCATATTGGTTTTTGTACAGGCCATGACTTTTGCACTGAAGGACATAACTGTATGGAGCATTCTGTCTGCCGAAACCTAGATGACAGAGCTGTCTGTAGCTGCCGAGATGGCTTCCGAGCCCTTCGCGAGGACAATGCCTACTGTGAAGGTAATACCTTCTAAAGATGCTTAGCTCCACTGTATAAATTACTGTGGGAAGAATGTATTGATTCATGAGTTGTTAAAGGGGCAGGCCTGTTAAATGCAATGAATTAGATATGCAGCATATTAATCAACTAAAATAATTATCTCTCCAATTAAGTTCTTTAAAAAAAAATATGTATCAAAGTTGCAGGTTAGTATGGTTGAGGTCTTGAATTAGAAACATGATTCCATAGGAAAGCTTTCCTTTTTTTTTTCATGGTATTCAGATATTCAGGCAACCTATAAACCAACCATTTGAATAGCATCTTAGTATAACATTTAGTTTCTTTTTTCGCTGCTACCTGTTCCCATTCTCTCTCCCCAGGAGAGAGATGCTATAGTAAATGCTATAGTAAATGCTATAGACTAGATACTAGTATTGTTAATCATACTTAGTAATGATTTATTATTTGAGATGCTTTTTTGGTATCAGGGAGCAACAAGCTACTTAATCAGAAGAGATGCCTCTGTAATTTGAATCTTTACGATCTAGCGTAATCCTGTGAAAGAAACCCATCCCTGCTCCAGCGGCGAAAGCCAAAGTCTTCTGCACAATCTCTTAGTTTTTGTGCTGTTGCTCTTCCTTATGAAAACCCTGATTCTGCAAGCATGTAATACTAGTGTACTATCAGGCCATTCTTACCATACAGCTTAAGTGTTGGCAGCACAATGGCCTTTGACTAATGAGCAGTTGGGTTGAGATTTAGCCTGATAAATTTAAAGTTAAGCATCTGTGAGTAGAGTCTAAGGTACTCTGTGGTCTCACCTAATACCTGGATTGTTCCCTGGCAATGCACAATTAAATGGGATGAATCAAAGCCTTTCAAGACTGTTCCTTTTGCTGAACTGTGCAAAAGTCAATGCCTGCAGCTTACTTGAGTTGGTAGCTGTATTAATGTCAGTGGAAATGTTGATCTGTAGATTTAGATTTGAGAATTCATGACGGTTTTCAGGAAAGAAGCATGTAATTAATTCAGCTTCGCATACCTCTCAGCTAAGTGTTATGGTAAGCCTTCTGATGGAAGCCTGTTTTGAGAAGTAGAAGTAAAAATCACGCAGAAACTAATCCCTTGCCCCTCATGATGTCCTAGCAGGCATCTGACATCAGAATGTGCTGTATAGTTTATTCTATGTTGCAGCACCAGCCACTTTTTATCCAGTAATCTCTGGAGACTACACTGAGGCTTAGGATGCAGATCTGCATTTCTGGGAACTCATCAGCCATTTTGTTTCTGAGGCAGTCACTGGAGCTATGATGAAATCAGGTGCTTTAAGAAGGTTTTTTTTCTACAGCTCTATTGTTACTTTGCTGAGTGAAAGCAGAAAAACAAGTTACGCTCTCTTAGTGATCGCCACATCACTCAGATTAGTCTGTTGCTCTGTGTGGAACATGCCAGGTATGTCATAGACAAAAAACAAAAGAAGCTTTTTGATCATCATCAGTGGTGAAATGTTTAGATGAGGACACAGTAGATTAACAAGGGCAAGTGTAGAGTCTTGCA